AGAAAAAATGACTAAGCCAATTGCCCACCACCATCTGACTTCAAATGTTCTATATTAACCATCTTCTAACACTTATAAATTAACAAGATCTAACATTAGCTACCAACATCTAATGTGCATCTTGCTAGTTGTCTGATCTCACCACCTATTATGAGAATAAGAATGTCAACCATCCAACATTAGCTGACCTTTGATGCTTCTCATTGTCCATCATTTGACATAAACTAATAACTTGTATTTAATATCTATTATACATTAATAATTATATGCACCATTTCAACCACTTAATCTCCCTCAACCATCATTCGATACCTACCAATAACTAATGTTTGACATCTATCAACCAACAATGTCTTACACTAATCTTTTTGATTGCCCAGTTTTCTCTTCCCTTAAGGGATTGTCTAGGTTGACTATCCAACATCTTTCAACTTTTGATGTTCCTATTAGCCATCGTATGACTTCAATCAATGAACAACATATGACATGCAGTAGCACTATCATGCATCTTTCCTATAGCTTGATTTTCCATCATATTAAAAGAATTATGATGCTTACCACTCATCATTGTTAAAATTTTAATATTTCAAATTTACTAGCATTTAACTTCCATCTCACTAATTGCCCAACCTTCCATATATTTGACTACAAATTTTCTCCCAACTTTTGGTGTTTCTCCATCAATCAATATGTGATGCTTAATAATGAGTGATGTTCATTATTTATTATCAATTAATTATTGAAATATATTTTACCATCTCCCCATGTTTTCCCTCAATCACCTAAAAGACTAAACTAAGTGCCCAACATAGCTTAACTTTTGATATTTCTTATTAATCATCATCTAATGCAAACTGATGATTAAAATTTTATATTGTTCAATTTCCAAAATCTAACTCTTATCATTCATTGATGCCCAATTCCAATCTAATCAGTCATGCCAACTCCCATCATATTAGGGGAGTAACTAGGTCAATCACCCTCTATTACTTGGACTTCTAATAGTCCTCATTAATTGTTGTTTAGAGACTATGAATAATTGATTTTAATCAACTATTAACATTTGATAATCATCTTTTCAATCATCTAATCTTAAGTCCTATAGGGATAATATCTAAGTTGGTTGCTTAATTCTGCTTGAATTCATTTAGTCTTTACTATTGATCCCCTATTGTTTATATTGATTGATGTCTCACATTTAATAACCACCAATATATGGTATTCATTATACTAATCACTAGATCAACTACTATTAAGAGAATGACTAAATTAATCATCCATAATCATTGGACTTTAAAAAATCCATATTGATACTCATATTTCTTATTAATTATTGTCTAACATACACCAACGAGTAATGTCTAACATATGTCAGCCATAAACATTTTATTCAACTCTAATCACCCAATGATATCTATGATACCACAAAATATTTAGTATCCCATAAGAAATGTCTTTCAAATTTCTTTTATTTTTTATTTTATTAACATCTTCTTCTATTAAGAGAAAGATTATTCATAGTAATATTTTTCACACATTAATGAAACTATTTAAATTAGACTAGGCTCAATAGTTTTTAACTTTCTTAAACTTTTCATACACAATAAATAGTGGCTCATTTATGCTAATATTTTAACTTATTTATGTGTTCAAAACTTTATCTAACCCTAAAATGTTAAAGAATTATCATTGCAGATATTTCAGAACACAACATATTATAAAGCTTACTCGAATCTTTTTGGCTCCATTATCTCATGTGACTAATATTTGGCTCATTACTGACTTGATGATTATAAATCAAGTAAGATGTGTCATCTACTGTGATTTGCTAAGTATTTATGTTGGTTATAAGTTACTCATACAAAAACAAACATAAATATAAACTTATTTTTCTAAAATTAATTATTTAACTTAAATTGATGAAATTATTTAATAAAATCATTCAATATGAAAATTAAGCTATTCATTAAAAATTATATGAATATATTTCAATTAATAAATTATGAAAGAATCATACTGATAATCAAATTAGTATGATTGACCATTAAAAAATATGATTGAAAATCACAAAATATGATCTAATTTAAAAAATAGTTGTTAAGCTTGGCATTGTATATAATATTAAAATATATAAATCATATAGTGTGGTCTAAATGATAAAACATTATGTGAGTGGGAAATTATGTTCCTAAAAATCCTTGTAATAAAGACTACAAAATAAATGGATGTGGACAAATTACCCAAAAAAACATATAATAAAGAATTTTTTTTATTTTTTAGGGGGGCCAATTGCCCCCTCTGAGCTAAAGGAAGGTCTGCCCTTGAATATAAAATTTAAGAAAGAGAGCTTAAGTTATAAAATCTTTTGAAGAGAACTATGAGAAACTTCAATGTATTCATCATCAACATAGAATCTCCATTAATTATTTGTAAAGCGTTTTTTAAAAACTTTATTATATTAATTTTTTTAATGTGTTCATCTTACAATCATATTTTTTAACATAATATAGAAGCCTTATTTGTACGCGAAAGTTATCGAGTCACATCCCAAGCTTAAGAGAGTTTCACTTTAACTTTTAAAGATAATTTTCATTACCTAGCGTGTTGTGCTAAGAGTATTAGATTGAAGAAAGAATATTGTGATCTAGTGGAGAGGACAAGAAATGGTAGGTTCCTCACCTTAAAGAAGGAATTTGGTGACCTACTAGAAAGGACTATTAGTATCTTGTTGATTGGTTTAAAATAGAAGTATTGGGGATGTGTCTATATTACTTATTAAGGAGGAAGTTATGCAAAAGATTTCTCCACCTACTCATGAAGTGAAGGATAGTTGCTTTGATAGTAAGCCTTTAGGGGGGTAGTGACAAGTTGGGCTTGGCATGAATATAGCTTAACGACAAAAAAAAAATGATCATGTCTAATTGTTCAATAATTTGATTACTTGCACAAATACTTATCATTTTTATGCTTTTAGATTGATGCGGCAACCTACTTGATTAATGATTATTATACTATATCCAAACACATACAACATTGGATTGGTAATATCATTATTTTTTTTAATTCACTGATAGCTTTAATTATCTTATATTTAATTTTATATTCCATGTTATATGGAAGGCTTTTAGGTTGGGAAGATTTTCTCATTAAATTGTGCTTATCACACTATCTCACCTTCCCCTCTTGTGTTTTGCCTTGATCTTCATCTTACACATTTAGCAAAGCTCCATCAACTAAGCATGTAGTCATAATTATTTCTAGTAAAGTCTAATAAATCTCTGTGTAACTCCAACCTCAATAGAAGCTTAGACACTCTTTGATGAGCTCCAACAAATCCTTTGCTTCTATTTTGACTAGACTCAACAATTTTTTGCAGGCCAACCTTCAATAGGACGTCCCCACACAACACTAATCACAAAATGATAGCTCTAGTATCCAAAACTTCTAATACCATAACAAGAGACGTTGTCCATGTTTTATATATTTTATTATGCATTAGCATCTCTTTCAATAATAAGAAAATATCTTCTTAGTAATATTTGACGCATTAATGAAAATTTCTAAACTAGACTCGACCTACTAGTTTTTTTTTTTTACTTAATCTTTTCAAGATAAAAAAACTATCTCATGTATGTTATTCTTTACCTTATTATACGTGATCAAGATTTTTTTTCTAACCCTTAAATGTCAAAGTAAACCTATCATCTTAGATATTTCAAATACACAACATATTATAACTAAAACATCCCAAGATCTAGCAAGCACCACCAACATAGTGGTTGCCATTGCTATTCCTAGCAAGGTCTGGTCAATCCCTCTACAACTCCAACATCAACCTAAACGCTAAATCATCTTTGATGAGCTTCAACAAATCTTTCCCTCCTATTTTAATGTTTTTTTTATAGACCGAGCCTCAATAAGACTATAATAAAATCAACAAGCTTTAGCTTATATTGAAGGGCCCATTATGTTAGAAGCAATATGCTCTAACAAACTTCATTGCATTAATAAATTTTTTAATTTCATCAACATAGTAATAAATAAATAAATAAATCACTATTTAATCAAATTTATAGCACATTTAAATAAAAAAACAAAGGAAAATATAAGGATTTAATTTCTTTCTAAAGAAACAATTTAAACATCTTACAACTTGGAATAATTATCTTTTTTATTTTAAATATATATCCTCATTGCATCAAAATATTCTAATAAAATTATTTTTCCTAACTAAAATCATATCAAAATAAATAATAAAATCAGTATTTGAAATTTACCAATATAAACTATAAGCTTTGCAAACAAATAAGAACTTCATAATTGAATCCTAAAATACTTAACATCCAACAAAACCAACAATGGGCAAGACATCTTACCCAAACCCAAGGTGATGCAACTCCAAGAAAGTAGAAACTCTCAAACCCTCAACATGGCCATCCTTTATTCGAAAGTTGAACGAATATATCAGGATATGTTAGATATTTATTACTAGTTTGTTTCGAACCATGACAATCACTAAGGGAGCCAGAGTCTTGACCACGAGAGATTATTAGGTGCAAAGTGCGGACAGGGAGAACCATCTGCACAAGCATTGGATATCTAATGGTACCTGCACTCGGTCCAGCTGGTACCGCTAGGTACCCAATACTTGTGCAGACGGTGCGCACTCCGCACCAAATAATTTTTCCTTGACCACAAGGCAACAACACTTGATACATCATCCAACATCCCCTAGCAACTACTGAGCAACAATCCTAATTCAGGCTAAGATTTCAAAATAACTTACTATTTTTTAAATCAACTTTTTAATACAAAAATTTTAAAAACTAGAAAAAAGCTTTACTAAAAAGTTGCCATAAAAAATAATAAAAATACTGCTGCAAACAAAACCAAAAATAACATCCCAAAGTCACCATATTTGTCACTCTTTTCATAAATTATTAATGGGTGCATAGCTAAGATATATTATTAATATTGCTTATACTTCAAAAGTGAAGGTGTGAATATTACTAATTGCTCTTTAACTCTGAAGCAGATCAATCAAATTTTTGGTGCTAGAAGCTACATAACTCAATAATCAGAGAACTCCATATCTTTAAAGAAGTATACAGAGACATATAAACATTTCATGTTTTTTTACATTGCAAATAATAACCAATAAATACCAAACGATTTCCACAAGCCTAACCATAAATAATGTACAAAAATTAGGGGGTTGGGCAAATGAAGTTACCATTGCTCAATGAACAAATCTTACTCCTTGATATCAACATTAGGGATTCCATGCTGTTTAAACCATTCTGGCATGTTAAATCTTTCGTGCAGTACAGGCCTGACATCCTTTTGGAGAGAGAGGCGCTTCAGAAGTGGAAGAATAACACCTAAAAGCTGATTGAAAGAAGGTTGAGGAAAGACAAGGCAAATGTGAGGAAAAATACATTGAAAGAACAATTATATTCTTGAGAATTTTGGCTTTTCAAGTTATTTTGACAAAATCAATAATGTGACAACATCTATTACACAAAAATATTTTGACCGTTAAAACATTTCTTATCAATAAGATGGTGTCACAACATTCAACTAGTCATTTCAACTAGCCAGATTTGGTAAGAAAATGACTTTGGTATGTAAATTGATATGAAGTTCTTATATGTAAGTAACCATTTCAAGTATGACTCAGAAATAAAATTGATGAAGTTGATTTATTTCAAAGTTTAATCTCTTTAAAATTTTGAAGGGAAAGCATCCAAATTCATTTTACCTATTTTACAAAAGTTTTACTTTATTGCAGCCAACGAAAAAAATAAGAAAAAATTTCTAAAAATTTGACAGCACTAGCTTGATACAGAAGAATTGCTCTGTTACCTGTTCATCATAAGGTTGTCCAGCAGAAAATGGAACACAGGGTATGCCATTTAATGGTTGAAGCAAGAAGCTGAATGGATTATTGTCAACAAGAACAATCCGACACAAATCTTTCGAAATGCTTAAAAGATCTTTAACATGTTCCCGATATTCCCTGATTCAAAATATTGAGGTGTGATTGGGTGAGTAAAAGGAATGATTGGAGTGTTGTTGCAAAATTTTGATCTTTAACTTCAATGGAAAACTTTGATGTAATCTAGTAAAATATAAAGCTATAAACTTACTCTGATGTTCCTACGACCATGTTACTGGACATTGTTAGAAAATAAAGCGTTTGTAAATCAAAAAATTAACTGCTACACAAGAAGGCAACCAATACAGCAAACTATCACTGTTCCATGAAAAAATTTGACGAGAAGTTAATGTCATGGCGAAGAAGCCAAAAATAATTAGCATTGCATATACATATAGTCCAACATGAAAATTAGAAATGAATAAATAAAGTAGGACACTGCAATCAAAATAATAAACTAGTTGAATAATAGCTTATTCAGATGACGTATAAGAAGAACAGAGTTCTATACATGCATAAAAGCCTTCACATGTATCTTAATAGGTAGTGGCCTGGTCGGGATGAATACACTCACCCTCAAGAAGAGATCCTAGGGTTGGTGCTGCAATCAGAGGCGGGTTCGGGCGTTGGGATCAGGTTTGGGTCGTACATGGAAGCGAGAGCACGAGTCTTGTGTGCGGGCTTGGTCGGATCGAAGGATTCAGGATGGAGGATCGACGGCTTCCTCAAGCAGAACAGAGCAGACAAGAGATGTAGGTCGTGCAATTGAGGGAGGTAAGGAAGTCGTTACATGTAGGCGGAACCAGTTGCTAGTGAGGACGGCAGAGTCGGACAGGGTCGGCGGGTACGGTCGTGCGGCAGAGAGAGGGCGTCTAGTTGGGCGCGACCCCCTTGCTTGCGTACAAAGAAGACTAGAGAGGGAGATCGTTGGGCTTCTACTTCCTTGCGTGGCTGAGAGTTTGAATGCCTTGGGTTCCTATGTGTGTGGACTGCTCGAATAGGGTAGGTAGGGCCTTTTGTGTAGTGAATCAGGCGGTTATGAGATCTTTTGTGAGTGGGAATGGTTATTGGATCCGCGAGGTAGTTAGGCAGACGTTTTGAGGTCAACAACTTGTTATAGCCACCACACTTCGAATTCCCACATATTATGATTGGAAATTCAACTTCAAGAATGAGGTTTGCTTGAATGCCATCTTTATTTCTATTAGGAAGAGTTCAAAATTAGATTGATTTTTTAAATGAATGAATTCACAAACAAGCCATGCCCAACACAAAACAAATTTGAATTAAGTCAAGCCTATATAAAATTGAGCAAGCTAGACCAAATTGAAATGTGTATTATACATGTATGAGTTGATTTATACTATATTTTTGTATATATTTAAATTTATACTAATGCATATATGCTTGTAGGGACCAATATATACATACATGCATATGCAGGGACAAAATTTAACTTAAAATATTAAAAAATAATCAAATTGGCTTAAATCAAACTCACGTCAAAAGAAATAGGCCGAATCAAGATCGAGTCAAGCGAGCATATATCTAATGCTAACTAATCTCAAAATTGGATAGATGGGACTCGATTTAATCTTGCACCAAGGTTATGACGATTAAAGATGGAATTATTCACATTCCCGAATAATAGCCTCCACCTTTAGGCCTTTTGTTGTCATCTCAGGTCTTTTGTTGTCATTGTGCCAAGATTCAATACTCGAACTGCCACCCAAATTAGTACCAACATAAATATATTGTGATGCTTAAGCTAACTGTCATTATTACATCAACAAGTGCTTAATCTAATTCTCACAACCACTATAGATTAAATCTCCTACGAGGTGTCATTATACTAATGCACCTAAAATTGATCAGATGGAACAAGTTTCTACACTCAAATTTTACCTATAATAATGTTTCATTATCTAAACCAGGCCCTGTGGTTTTCCTCTTCAAAATTTTCCATGCAAAAAAGAAAAGTTAAAAAAAAATCACCGCAACTCTTTTGACTATGTGTGCGCCCAAATTCTAGAGCTAAGAAGAACATAAATCTCTATTCTTTGAATTTACCTAAATTTCTTCGTACATATGCCCTTGAGATCACATGGAAGTTCTTTTATTGTTGATTCTGAAAAAAAAAAAAAACTTTTCTTCAACCAACAAAAACATTTTGAAGAAAATATGAATCCTCGTACACTTTGGAGGGATAAAATCAAATAAGTTATGCTCATTTTCTTTGGATCGCTACCCAAAAAGCCTATAGATTAACCTCAACCCAACCCCAAGTAAGCTTGTACAAGTCAAATTGAAGCTGTGCATGTTCGAAAAGATCAAATTTACGAGTTGAGCCGGTAAATGTCCAAGATTTCTCTCTTAAAACAAACTGCATTGCCGACAACTAAATCAATCGCATAAGATATCATTATCACCTCCCGTGCACAAAACTACTTTGCAGTGATTTTGCTATGGGATGACCCCACACCGCATGTAGCACCCACCATAAGTGGCATGAGGGATGCAGAATGAAAAAGGAGCAACAACAAGAATAATAATATCGAGCCTTTTATCCCACTACGTGGGTCGGCTAAATAATTTTTTTTTCATTGTGTCTTGTTAAGAGTCAAACTCTCATAAAAAGTCATTTCTAATACTTTCTAACCATGTCTTTTTAGGTCTACCACTACTTTTTTTAACATAGGATAAATCTAATACATCGACTCTCCTAATCGGCTCATCAAAAGATCGACGTTTTATGTGACCAAACCATCTAAAGACGACAGTCATTGGACCTATTATTTCGCATTCTGTCTCTAAGAGTAAAGTCACTCATCTGAGCATCCTCATCTGTAAAATACTAAACTTAATTTTATAATTCTCTTTTAATGGCCAACATTCTGTGTCATAAAGCATTGCAAGTCTCATCACTATCTTATAGAATCTTCCCTAAAGTTTGAGGCATATTTTTCTATCACACAATAGGCTAAATGCATTCCTCCACTTTAACCATCCAATTTAAATACTATTAATAATATCCACATCTATTTCACCACCACTTAGAACAATAGGCCCGATTTATCTAGAACGTGTACTATTTTTAATGACTTAATCATCCAAAGTCACAACCCCGACTGGATCTATTACTTCTAAAATTACACTCAATGTACTTGATTTTAGATCTATTCAAACAAAAACCTTAAACTCTAAGCTTGAGTTAAATAATTCAAGTTTTCCTTCAACTCCCCCTCTAGTCTTATCAATAAGAAGAATAACATCAATAAAAAACATAGGCTAGGGTACATCCTATTGCAAATTTCTACAAAGAACATCTATGACTAAAGAAAAAAAAAATATGAGCTTAAAGTTGATCTTTAATATAGTCTAATTGAAATAGAAAAATACATTGTCATACCACCTTGTGTTTGAACACAACAAGTTGGCATACATATAAAACAAAAAATTGAATAAGACTAAAACAAACAAGTGATAAATTGTGTGAAATAGAAATGAAATCCAAATATTTCAAGAGCAAAATAACATGAAATATAGGAATTGCATAAAAATATCCTACATTAAGTTAAACTCCAAATTCATTCTTTCTCAGTTCCCTACTCAATCACATTTAATTCTTTAAAAAACTGACAAAATTGGTAACTCAAAAATCATCTGCACTGTCATTACTGAGGGGGTCTTTATTTGAGTCGTCGTCATAACAAGTTGGTCTCTCTCCTACCTCATCCTATGGAACTCAATGCCTTTCAATTTGTTTCTTCAGCATTTATTTCAATCATCCTTCTCTTTTATAAATAATTGTCATCAACATAAAGATAGAATAATACTCCAAAATTTTTAGAGGAGGTGGTGGTGGTGTACGACTTTCAAATGATTCATGGTAGTGGCTATGATGGTGGTAGCTACGACAAAGGCGGTGAGTTGGAGGTCAAGGCAATTGAGAGGAAGTTGTTGCGGCTTGGGGGTGCATGACAGCATTATTTATTCGAGGCTTTTGTTTAGGATTTAGATACGTTTTAATAAAAAAATATATAAATCGGGTGAGGTATACACCTCACGCCAGTAAAGCAAGGCGCGTCTCAAGGTGGGCTTCAGCCACGCTGAAACACAAGCCTCATAAAAAAAGTTCAAAGCGTAAGCCTCGAAACAATTTTCACTGGAATTGCGCTAAGGCGGGCCTCAATGTGAGCCTCATATTGTGCAATTTTAAACAATGGTAACAACCCCTGCATACATATCCTTAATGACCTGAATATAAATATCAACTCCTTTCTTTTCTAGAACTCTTCAAAGCACTTCTCTTGGAACTTTGACATATGCTTTTTTTAAATCAATAAATATAATATGTAGATCCTTCTTATTCTCTCTATACTTATCCATCAACCCTCTAAATAAATGCATAGCTTCTATGGAAGACCTACTAGACATAATGAAAATTGGGTAGGCCTCACAACTTCTCTTATATATATATAACTCTCTTTAACAACATAAAGGGATGGGCAAGGAGGATGCTGTGAAGGAATATACATGGATGATCCCTCCCTCTTTTTCTTTCTGGTTTTATCTCATCGATCTCTCAAAACACTAACTCTTTTTGTAGCAAACATGTTTCTAGTCTTCCACGAAGAAGAGATGTATAATGATAGAAGGAAAAGTTTGAGACAAAAAAGTTGACCACCATAGTCATCTCCACTGCAACGCCCTCCATCATCATCATAACCAAGCTAACCTCCATCAAAATCATAGATGGCATGGCCAACATTGACATTTGTACTAGAATGACCTCCTAGGTCGTCTATACTCAATGGCCTCCAAAGAAGTATTGCTACAACAACCTCCATGATCATCTGTATTGTGTTGTCCTCAACTGATTTTGGTACATAGCCCATCTATCACACTTATCATTGCAACGACCTCCATTATTGTTTACACTAAGAGTGCCTTTAATGCAAGGGCCTTAATGGTCTTTATGGCATCAGCATTTGCCAACATCTTTGTTGTGCGGTCTTAATGATCATCTTTAGTGTAACCTCCATCATCTCCACAACAATAACATTCTTTGACATTTTTGT